GGTCTGAAGTTTTCTTTTTTTGTTGTGTCTTTGCCTGGTTTTGAAATCAGAGTGATATTGGCCTCACAGAATGAGGGCCACTTTTTGGAAGATGTACCGCCTATTTTTTATTTCCTGAAATATATTGGAAAGTATTTAAATTAGTTCTTCTTATAGGTCTTGTAGAACTCAGCTGTGTATACATTCGGTCCTGGGCTTTTCTTGGTTGGTAGACTTTTGATGGAGCCTGCTATTTCACCACGTGAAATTGATCTGTTTAAATTGTGCATATCATCCTAATTAAATTTGGGCGAATTATATGACTCTAGAAATTTGTCAATGCCTTCGATATTTTCAAAGTAATTTCTAATTATCTTCTGTATTTCTGTAGTGTCTTTTGTGATATTTCCTTTCTCATCATATATGATAGTGATTTCAGTTTTCACTCTTCTTCTCTTCATTAGCATGTCTAAATGTCTGTAAATTTTATTTATTTTTTCAAAGAACCAACTTTTTGTTCTATCAATTTTTCAATTGTTTCATTTGTTTCAATTTTATTGACTTCAGCTCTGATTTTAAATATTTCCTGTCTTCTTTTGCTTTTGGTGATGATTTGTTCTTCTTTTTCTAGGGTGTTGAGATGTAGTGTTAAGTCATTTATTTGTTGACTCTTTCCTCTTTTAAGGAATGAACTGCATGCAATGAACTTTCCTCTTAGAACTGCTTTCATAGTGTCCCAGAGATTTTGATAAATTGTATTTGTGTTCTCATTCACCTCTAAAAATTTTTAATCTCCTCTTTGATTTCTTCTGTAACCCATAGTCTCCAGGTGTCGGAGTGGATTTTATTTTATCATTGATTTCTAATTATATTACATTATGACCTGATATAATGCAGGGTAGTATCTCTATTTTTTATATTTGCTAAGAGTTGCTTTGAGGCATAGTATATGGTCTATTTTAGAGAAGGATTCATGTGCTACTGAGAAGAAAGTATATTCTCTCATTGAAGGTTGGAATATTATATATATATATATATATATATATATATATATATATATATATATATATATATATGTCAGTTAAGTCTAAGTTATTGATTGTATTATTGAATTCTAAAGTTTCTTTGTTCGGCTTTTGTTTGGAAGATCTATCTAGTGATGAAAGAGGTATGTTAAAGTCACCTAAAAGTATTGTTTTGTGGACTATTGGACTCTTGAACTTGAGAAGAGTTTGTTTGATGAACAGAGCTGCTCCATTGTTTGGGGCATATATATTTATAATTGTTAAGTCTTGTTGGTGTATGTTTCCCTTGAGAAGTATGTATGTAGTGTCCTTCTTTATCTTTTTTGATTGACTTTAGTTTGAAGTATACTTTATTTGATATGAGGATGGAAACCCCTGAATGCTTTCTCAGTCCATGTGAGTGGTATGATTTTCCCAACCCTTCATGTTCAGTCTGTGAATGTTGTTTTCTATGAGATGTGTCTCTTGGAGGCAGCATATTGTTGGGTCTTTTTTAATCTAATATGCTAGTCTGTGCATTTTGATTGTTGAGTTTAGGCCATTAACATTCAGGGTTATTACTGAGACATAATTTGTATTTCCAGGCATTCTTTTTTTTTTTTTTTTTGGTTTTTAACATGACTTGGTTTCTCTTCTGATTAGATTTTCCTCATTTTATAATTGATTTAATCCCTCCCTCTGCTGATTTTCATCATTGTTTTTCATTTCCTCTTCTTGGGATATTTTGCTGAGGATGTTCTGTAGTGTAGGCTTTCTAGTTGTAAATTCTTTTAACTTTTGTTTATCATGGAAGGATTTATTCTATCATCAAATCTAAAGTTTAGTTTTGCTGGACATAAGATTCTTGGTTGACATCCATTTTCTTTCAGATCTTGGTATATGTTGTTCAGTGATCTCCTGGCTTTGAGGGTCTGGGTTAAAAAAATTTGCTGAGATATGAATTGGTATCCTCCCTATATGTGATCTGATTCCCCTCTCTTGTGGCTTTTAAGGTTCTATCCTTATTCTGTATGATAGGCATTTTCATTATATTGTGTCTTGGTGTAGATCTGTTGTAATTTTGTACATTTGGTATCCTGTAAGTCTCTTATATTTGGTTTTCCAATTCTTTTTTCATGTTTGGGAAATTTTCTGATATTATCTCATTGAAGAAATTGTGCATTCCTTTGGTTTGAAACTCTGTGCCTTCCTCTATCCCAATAACTCCTAGATTTAGTCTTTTGAGGTTGTCCCATAATTCTTGGATGTTCTGTTCATGTTTTTTAACTTTCTTCACTGTGTGATCAACTTTATTTTCCAGAGTGTATACTTTTGTCTTGATTATCTGATGTTCTTTCTTCCAAGTGATCTATCTGTCGGTTATGGTTTTTATTGATTTTTTATTTGATTTATTATATCCTTCATTTCAAGGATTTCTGACTGGTTTTTCTTCAGGGTCTCTCTCTCTTGAAGTAATCTTTTGCTACCTGTAATATGCCTCTTATCTCATTGTTGAAGTGATCAATTTTTGCTTGTATTTGCTCATTTAGGTCATTCTTTAATTCACCAATCATTTTAATTATGAACCTATTGAACTCCTTCTCTGAGATTTCAACAACTTTTCTGTCCATAGATTCTGTTATTATAGTGTCCTGGTTTGTTTGGGGCACTTTCCTCCCATGTTTTTTCATGTTGTTTATGTGTCTTCCTTTCTTGCAGTGTGAATCTGAGATATTACAGTTTCTTCCCTATAATCTTGTAGTACCTGTGCAGATTGTCTGTACCTCACCTTGATGTTGGGCTTCCAGATCATGCTGGTGTCCCTGGATGAATGCTACTGCATCCTAGGTCTGGGACCTGGATAAGTTGGAGTGGGTGGATCTGAGCCACTGGGCTTGACCTACCTCCCGTTGTAGTCTGCTGATAGTAAGGGGTGGTCCTGCACCAAAGGCTAGTCTCTGGCAGTGTCTGCCCCACCAGAGGATGGGTGAACCAGGCCTACTGAAATCCTCAATCCCACGTGGGCTGTTGTGAGAGGTCTGGGCTGGATCTCAGCTCTCACAGTAGTACACTGTTCAGAAGGGGTGGTCCTGCACCAGAGACTAGGCTCTGGTGAGTGTCTGCCCCACTAGTAAAGGAGTGGACCTGGCCCACTGTGCGCCTGGGCCCTGCAAAGGCTGGTGTGGGTGGATCTGGGCCACTGGGCCTGACCTCCCAGTTGAGATCTTGGATCCCAAGTAGGCTGGTGTGGGCAGTCTGGGCTGGATCTCAGTTCTCATGATAGTTCACTAGCAGAAGGGGCAGTCCTGCACTAGAGCCTAGGCTCTGGCTAGTGTCTGCCCAGCCGGGAAAGGGGTAGACCCAGCCCATTGTGTGCCTGGGTCCTGAAGAGCCCAGTGTGGGTGGATCTCTAACCTGACTTTTTAACTGGTGAGGGATAATGGGATTTTGTGTAATTTTTGTGCATGTGGCTATCTAGCTTTCCAGTAATCATTCATTTAAAAACTGTTCTTCTAAAACACTTTCCTATCATATTTGTTGAAAATGTGTTAGCTATGGATATGTGGCTTTACTTCTAGGCCCTCTAGTCTGTTCTATGCACCTGTGTACCTATTTTTTTCCAATTTATACCATCCTATTTTGATTACTACAGGTTTGGAGTATACTTTAAAGTGAGATAGTGCAAGCCTTCTGGTTTGCTCAAGATTGTTTTGACTACTGGATGTTATTTTGTTCTTCCATACAAATATTAAGGATTTTTTCTATCCCTGTGAAGAATACATTTCATATTTGGATGGGGGTTGCATTGATTCTTTTGTCACTTTAGTAGGATAGACTTTTTAACAATATTGATTCTTCCAGTCCATGAACATCATTTATCTTCCAATTTGGTATATCTTCATTTCTTTGCATAAATATTTTTATAGTTTTCATTGTAGAGGTCTCTTATATATTTGGTTAAATATATCTCTAAGTATTTTGTTTTCTGTAGCTACTGGAAATGTATTTACTTTATTCATTTCTTTTTTCCAACAATTCAGTATATGTATATAGAAATTCTATTGATATGTTTTAATGTAGATTTTGCATCCTACAATCTCCTAAAGTTCTTTATTAGTTGTAATATTTGTATGGAATTTGGGGGTTTTCAAAATAAGATCCTGATGTCTATAAACAGGGACATGCTGACTTATTTCTTCCTAATTTGGATGCCCATTATTCTTTCACTTCACTGATTTCTCTGTAGTATTTGAGCCCTATATTAAATTAGTGAATACTGATATCCTTTACTTATTTCAGATATTAGGAAAATTTCAATTTTCTCCACTCAATATGATGTGATCTTTGGGATGGTTATATATGGTCTTTAGTAGGTTAAGATATATTCCTTCTCTACCTAACTAGCTCAGTGTTTTATCATGAAGGGATGTTCACTTTTATCAAATATTTATTGTGTATGCATTGAGATGATCATAAGATTTTTATCCTTCCTTTATTCTGTTGACATTGTGAACTCACCTAACATTCTTATAGTCCTCTGTTAACAGACACAAATTATTTAGTACTATAATTTACATGGAATGACATTCAATGGAAATTCAATGAGAATAATCCCAGGAAATCTTTCCTTCCCTCCACTGTGAGATACAAACTGAGTTATCAGATAAGTTCAGGAAAAAAAAAATTGGGCTTACTCTCTTCAGATCATTCTTCTCTTTAGAATATAATTGTCTGTAAAATGTATATTCTATATGTTGGGGAACAATGCAAGTATGTGTAAGTCTAATCCATAAGTATTAACCTGTCCTTCTGGTTGCACACATAAGCCCATACACCAAACTAACATATCAGCAATAAATATAGAACTATGATTTTCATCTGGCTCTAGTATTTATGTCCGGTTGGTTCCAATATCCCCGTTTACAATAACTACCTATTCTAGACAAGTATGACTGTTAAAAATTTTCCTAACCATCACATCAAAAAAAAAAAAAACCAGAATCTACTGGATCTCACCTGTTTTCCAGGATGATCTCATTGCTTAAGGTGTCTTGCATTGGATCCAGCATCCTAAATGTAGGAATTCTACCATTGCCACTAAGTGGTATGTAATCTTTGCCATCCTGAAAGAAAAAAAAAACACAAATGGCAATCATTCCCAAAAGAAATATATGCTAAATGAAAAATTTTATTCCCTTCCTTGAATGAATTTATCTGAGAAGAGCTACATATAAAACAACACGAATGGATAAACTAATTCAAACCCTGGAGGAAAAGTGTCTATTTTGCTAAGTAGTCACAGAACAAAAACAGCAGCAAAAAACTATACTGTTTCCTTCATTTATTACTTAATTTGCTTTTTTAAGGAATCAGTTGAAGATTTAAAACCAATCACTACTAGCAGGAGATCAAGTTCCTTACTCTTAAAGGTTCAACAACTGTTACATTTTTAAGATTTTACAATGGAATTATTGTGGAGAGGGATTGAAACTAAACTTCATTTAATCTGAACTACGCAAGACCTCATGGTTGACATTTTTATTTATTTAATTTTTAACTGGGCAAGGACATTAAAATTTGAATTTGAGAGACAAGCTTTTTGTTGGTATAGGAGAGGGTCAGTTATTATGAATCTTGAGTGTCTTGTTTGACCATAGATAGGTAAATATTGCTTTTGAAATCAAATATCATTGGATGAATAGAGCCTCTAAGCCTTTACCTCCATATGGTCTTCATCATTCTAAGAGTTTAGGTGGGGCTTTTATATCCTTCATTGTGATTATAAGTTCTGGATATCTATTTAGAGAAGCTAACTTAAAGGAAAGGGGTTGTGTCAAATTGGACCCTACTTCAAATGTTATATCTCCCTTCAAAACATTACCTCTCTCAGCTCAAAGTGCATTCTCTCCTCCTACTGAGTTCCAAAATTCCCCATTCCTTTCCTTTCTCCTCAATTTTCTTCTCAAATGGCACTAATCTCTCTTGTATCAAGAGAATTGTAATGGCTTTTAGGGTGGTCCTAATGATCACTGTCCCTTGTTATTCAAACCCTTACATAATTCCCTCCCATTAAATGGGATATTAATTTATTGACTCACTTCTCATCAATAGACTATGACCAACATGAAGAGATACAGATTCCAAGAATAGGTTGTATAAAGATGTGGTTTTCACTTTGCAAACTCTTATTATGTGAGCTTCCCTAGGAAGAGACCCATGTAGAAAGATATCAAGGCAGAGCTCCAGACTAGATCCACAGAAGATCTGTAGCTTGTCAATCAATGCATGAGTAAATTTTAAAATGTATGTACATCTAATGAAGCTTTCAGATGCAAATACAATCATAGCCATCATCTTCAATGAAAATCCATAAGACTCCTAGAGCCACAGTAAAGCTCTCTTTTAATTCCTGACACACAAAAATTAAGAAATAATAAATGTTTTTTTGTTCATTTACTTTATTAAGTTAAAACATGTGTAACTAATTGTACCATTTCAACCCTTTAAGTGTGGAGCTCAGTGACACTAGTTAGATGTACATTGTTGTTAAAGTAATGATGATTATCCATCCCCAGAATATTGTATATCATCAAAACCAAACTCCATGTCCTTCTTCAAGAAGAAAAGAAAAGAAACATCCCATTTCTCTCCACCCACCTCTGAAGTGGAACTGGTATCTTTTTACTTTGCCCATGTTCTCTTGGTCAGTTTTATTCCCGCAACAACTATTTTCCTGTCCTCCTTCCTCCCCCTCAATCCCTTTCTTCTATTCCACTGATATCTCTTGTAATTTCATGAAATGCCAACACACTCCCCTCCTCTTATTTTGTTCTTCCTTCTGCATAGGGGAGAAAACATTTGACCCTTGATTTTCTGGGTGTGGCTTGTATCACTGAGCATGATTTTCTACCGTTGCATCTATTTAGCAGTAAATGCCACAATCTCATTCTTCTTTTCAGCTGAGTAAAATTCGTATGTGTGTGTGTGTGTGTGTGTGTGTGTGTGTGTGTGTATTACATTTTCTTTCTTCATTCATCTGTTGACAGGTATCTGGATTGGTTCCATAGCTTGGCTATTGTTAATTGTGCTACTATAAACACTGATGTGACTGTATGTTTATAGTATGTTTATTTTAGATATACACCAAGGAGATGAGTGGGAAAGCTTGGACACATGCTGGCTGCATTCCTACTTTTTTAAGGAATCTCCATACTGCTTTATAGAGCAGTTGTATTAATTTGCAATACCACCAACAATGTATCAGTGTATTTTATTTCCATACCCTCACCAGAATTTAATATGATTTGTATTCTTTTTAAAGTTTTTATATATTCTGGATAATTGTCATTCTGACTTAAATTCCTTTGCTGTACACAACGTAGAGTCACATACTTCATGTCTTCATACATGTTCTTAGGGGAATGATGATCATCACATCCCACCATCTTTCCTACTTTATGTACAACCATAGATATGAAAAATTGTGCTCTAAATGTGTAATATGTGTTGTAATGCATTCTGTTATCATATATAACAAATTAAAATTAAAAAGAAAATGATAAAAAAGAGTATTATTATACATTTTTGCCTGTTTTAATTTTTATTTATTATTATTAATCACTTGACCATCCTCATCCTTCTCTTCTCAAAAATAAACAAATGGTTACCATAAAAATTCCTTTGCTGTATAGAAGACTTTTAATTTGATATAATCCAATTTATTGATTTTTGGTTTTATTTCTTGCACTTTATGAGTCTTGTTAAGGAAGACAGTACCAATACATTGAAAGTTTGAGCCCACATTTTCTTCTAGCAATTGTAGATTTCCTGATCTAATTCCTAGGTCTTTGATACACTTTGAGTTCAGTTTTGTGCAGGGGGACATATAGAGTTCTAGTTTCATTCTTCTACATATGGATATCCAATTTTTCTAGCAACATTTGTTTAAAAAGGCTATCTTTTCTATCTTCTTTCTTTCTATGCTTTTAGCATCTTTGTCTAGTATCAAATGACAGTATCTATGTAGGTTTTTCTCTGTATCTTCTATTACATTTGTTTTCATGTATGACTTGTTGACTGTACCATGATGTAGTATAATTTGAAGTTTGGTATACTTCCTCAGTATTGTTTTGGCTATTCTTGATCTCTTAGTCTTACAAATAAATTTCAGTACTGATTTTTCTAGTTCTGTGATGAATGTCATTGGCATTTTGATGAAAATTACATTGAATCTGTACAATGCTTTTGGTAGCATGGCTGTTTTGATAATATTAAGTCTGCCTATAAATGAACATGGAATATCTATCTTTTCATCTTCTAAGATCTTCAATTTCTTTCTAACATGTTCTATAGTTTTTATTGTAAAAGTCTTTCACCTTAATGGTTAGATTTATTCTTTTTCAGCATATTCATTATTGAAGTACAGTAAAGCAATGTTGTATAATATTTCTTCCATTGGAAAAGTTAATCCATCAAATTCACTGTCTTTCCTGTGGCACCTGCAAATTTCTCTAAAATAGATCATATTTTAAGGCACAAAACAAATAATTTCAGATACAAAAATAATGAGAAAATTTCTTGCACCCTATCAGATAATAATGGAGTGTAATTAGAAATCAATGATAAAAACAAAAACCATTCTACCACCTATAGATTAAATAATACATATTTGAATGATGAAGGGATCAAAAAAGAAATCAATGGGGAGCAAATTTTTACCCCTCACACATCAGATAGAGCACTAGTCTCTAGGATAATAAAGAACTCAAAAAGCTAAGCACCAAAAATAAATAAAAATAAATAAACCAATCAACAAATGATGGGCCACAGATCTGAACAGACACTTCTAGACACTTCTCAGAAGAGGATATACAATCAATCAACAAATATATGAAAAAATGCTCATCATCTCTAGCAATCAGAGAAATGCAAATCAAAACTAC